CTTCACCGGTGTCCTTGTCCCGCTTCGCCTTGCCTTTGAGGCGGTCAAAGATCGCTCCGACCGCCTCCTCGCCCGAGGCATGGCTGGTGGCGATGTCGATGAGCTCCTTGGTGGTTCACGGGCCCTTATGTCCTAGCTTGTGAACCAGGGACTCACAGGTGGTCCTAGATAAGAAAGCTCCTATAACATCGACATCGATGACATTAGGCAGCTCATTGCACTGCTGGGAGAAGCGCCGGATGTACCCATAGAGGGTTTCTCCGGCCTTCTATCGGTAGTTTTTGAGATCCCATGGGTTCTCGAATGCTTATACGTGCCCTAGAAGTTCCCCATGAAGATCTCTTTTAGGTCCGCTCAACTTTGAATTCTATTGAGCAGAAGGTGTTCCAACCATGTTCGTGATGAATCAACCAAGAACAATAGAAGGTTGCGGATAATGAAGTCGTCATTATCCGCTCCATCGGCTTGGCAAGCAAGCCGATAATCCTCGAGCCATAGTCCGGGGTTCATTTCCCTAGAGTATTTTAGGATGTTGGTTGGTGGTCGGTACCATGGCGGGAAGGCGACGTTGAGGATGTGTCGGCCGAAGGCCTGAGGTCCCGGTAGGCCGAGGCTCAGGCTTTGGTCCTCGTTGCTGACGTAGCGTCCGCCACGACATGGGTGGTAGCCGCGGCTAGCTCCCTCCCTCGGATCACCGTGGGCACGCCTGCGGGCATTGAGTGTGTCACGCGCATCACGGTTGTGGCCAAGATGCTCATGTACCAGGACCGTGGTGCGTAGCTGCCGCCACCTTGTGGTGCTTGGTGGACTAACGTGTCCTTGTCGGGTCACTCTGAGGGCATGCGCTGGCTGGCGTCGAGCTCATATTGCCGAGACAGTGAGCTCTCGCCCTACTGTGCCGCCGCACGCTCGAGTAGCATGCGAATCTCACGATGGGCCTGACGGTCTTCGAGCGTCGCGGGCCCGGAAGCCCCCGGAGCAAGGCCGCCATAGCGGCAATGTTCTAGCTCACCCGGGTGAAGTGTGGGAGTGCTTCATCATCATCGATGATCCTCCGGTTCATGTCATGGGCCATGGCGCGTGCACGCCCACCGTCTCTGTGGCGCTCGATCTCTCAATCGAGCTCCGCGCGTTCCTGCTCGAGCTGGAATCACGCTTCCTTGAGCTCTTGGTGTCGGGCCTTCAACTGCTCCACCCATAGGTGAGGCGGGGCCCCTGCATCCCTCCCGACCTTGTCGTCGAGGTCATTTGTTGGGGTAGCCTCTTTCTCGTGAATGCTTTTGATGTGTCCCTCAGGGGTACCCGCCATGAAACACTCACGAGAGGGGTGATGGCTCCCCCTGCTGGAGTCAGAGCTAGAGGGCGACTCGATTCTCCCGCAAAGAGGTCGTGGAAAGACTCCACGATATATTCGGTCATCCCTACGAACTCGTTGTTCACGGGGGATGGAGGAGTGCGTTGCACCATAGGGTGGCCACAGGGAGCGCTCCGTTGGTCTCCGCAATGTCCCTACGTCCCCGACTAGCACTGAAAGTTCGTAGTAGTGGTTACAAATGGTCAAGAGAGGGACATGCCCCAAGTCTCTGGTGAGAGGAGCGAACGGGGGCCGAGAGCTCGGTCACTTCCCGGCTATGTGCTTGTGTATTCTGATCGGTTCGGGGTTCGACGGGTTCTGTCCCAATCGATGCGATGTGTTGTGATGCCCTTTATGGGACGCCCTGCTTTCCCTTTTATAGGCCAAGGGAAAGCACGGGTTACAGTGGAGGGAAAAAAGGAGGATGAGAAGGAGAAGAAGTCCTCCAGGATTGTCGGATCCTTCTTTTCCTTCACATGGGTCTCGCCGACCCTGTAGATGTCAACAGGGACAGTTCCACATCACGGCCCTGTCCGTCATTGGCGCCATGCATAGGTGTCGTCTCCCGGTCATGACGCTCCACTCTGTCCTGGTGGACATCATGGTGAACTGACGTGCCTGTCAGTGCTTGTACGAGGGTTAGGCGGAACAGCACCAGTACGCCTAACGTTGTTCCTGATGTGAATCCCCAGGTATGGCCCATCACGGCCATGGGTTATATCGGGGCATGCCGGTCACCTCCCTGGTGTCAGAGCTTTGACCCAACCCTATTCGCTTGGACCTGGAGTAGTTGGCGGCAGTATGGGTCTTCGTCGGGCGAGACGGATCCCCTAGCCTCGGGATCGGTCGAGGCGGAGTCCCCCCCATAGGCCGAGCGAGGCGGAGCCCGTGGCCTCGGTGTCAGGCGAGGCGGAGCCAGCCCTCAGAGGTCGAGCGAGGCGGAGCCCGTGGCCTCGGTGGTCTAGCGAAGCAGAGCGTAAACCCAGGGGTCGGGCGAGGCGGAGCCCACGGCCTCGGTGTTGGGCGAGGCGGAGCCCGTGCCCCAGAGGCCGGGCGAGGCGAAGCCCACCCATAGAGGTCGGGCGAGGCGGAGCCCGCGGCCTCGGTGTCGGGCAAGACAGAGCCTGCCCCCAGAGGTCGGGCAAGGCGGAGCCCGCCCCTAGAGGTCGGGCGAGGCGGAGCCCGTGGCCTCGGTGTAGGGCGAGGCGGAGTCCACGACCTCGGTGTCGGGTGAGGCGGAGCCCGCCCCCAGAGATCGGGTGAGGCGGAGCTTGCGCACCTAGGGGTTGTTGGAGCTGTAGTCGCGCTTTTGACTGCTCGGATGAATCAATGTCGATGGTTATTAGCTCCTCCTCTTTTGGTACCCTAGTATTGGTCCCTGACACGCCTGCTGATGAAACACTTATAACATAAAGCATTTGCTGCAACGTACGTCCGAAATAGATGAAACATTTACAACATATGCTTGCAACATATGTGTATGGGCACTGCAATATATGCAACATCCAGATAAAACACTTGCAACATACGTTTAAAACAGCTAAAACATATACTTGCAACATACGTGTATAGCCAGTGCAACGTATGCAACATCCAAATAAAACACTTGCACCATACATTTTAAACAGCTAAAATATTTAAAACATACACTTACAATATATATGTATAGTTATTGCAACATATGTAATATCATATCTACTTTTGCAACATCAAATAAAACATATGTAATATACATCTAAAATTCATGAAACATACGGTTCCAACGTGTGCTCGTCTATTTGATGAGCACCACGGAGCTGGAGATTGCCGTTCACGTGACGGAGCTCGAGGGCCTTGTTTAGTTCAAAATTCCAAGTTTTTCACTCTCTCTCCATCACATCAATTTTTAGCCGTTTACATGGAGATTAAATGTAACGCGAGCGGAAGAATCACGAGATGAATCTTTTGAGCTTAGTTGATCCACAGTTAGATAATATTTACCAAATAAGACGAAAGTACTACTATTGATCGGATTGAAATTTTTTTCAATCTTAACAAGCCCCGGATGAATCACGACACGGCGAGAGACAAAAGGCGTGGGTGAGGGTGCATGACGCGAGGCACGAGGCGCACGACGTGAGGCGCAAGGGCAGGCGCGTCCATCCCGTCCTTTAGCTCGAGGCACGAGGCGTGGGGGCGTACCACGCGAGGCCAGGTACGTCCGTCGCGTCCTTTGGCGCAAGGCACGAGGCGTGGAGGCGCGCGACGCAAGGCGCGGAGGCAGGCGCGTCACGGACGGAACGTCCTGAGGTATCATTATCGTTGTCCCAAACAAAGTCTGCAGTGCGCGCCCCTGCGGCCCTGTTCGCGCCCACACTCACTGACATAGGCTCATGGCCACGGCACATCTACCGACCGACGACTCCTATTCTTCGTTTCTTCAACTTCTTGACTCGGGATTATGTCCGGCTGCCACAATCATAGATCCTAGCTGAAAGCTAAAACAAACGGTCAGTTTTTAAAGTTACCATTTGGAAATATAAAAATAAAAGCCCTCTATATGTATTAGGACAGCTTAGGCTAAAGATGTGTGAAGATAAGAGAGAAAAAATGAGGTACAAATGTAAAATACATATTGGATAGCATGTGCTAGTTTAGGACCTTTAGTGTACCTGTTTTACTTGGTTTTGTACCTATGCCAAGAATAAATAAATTGTATTCATCACCACTAATTCTCTCTTCATCGGTAAAGTTAGAATACTATATATTTTATTACATGCATAGCCCACCTTTACATGGAGTAATAGATTTACACTCGTTTTGACTTGTTTAACTAGGACAACACCTTGTGAGTTGTGACATGCCACCTTGCGTCTTACTAGAAAATTATACACTAGAGTTGCCCTTAGAAGGCATAAGGTAGTCTAGAAGTGTTTTTGCTAGGTTTTGTTGGATAATATTTTGGAGGATATTAGACATATCAAACAATTTATTTTTTTAAAACCCAGGGCATAAATATAGCTTTTGCAAGTTTTCAAAATGCAGTTTTTGCAACATATATAGCTTTGAAAAACAAAGTTTAAAGAAACAGGTCTTTATCGTAAGCATGCATCATACTCATTTGTGGATCGTATTTTTCCGTTCAAATATTAAGTCATTTTAGTTTTGTTTTGAGTCAAACTTCTCTAACTTTGATAAGCTTTAGAAAAATGTATTACCATATACTCTCTCTGCTCTATAAATAATACAATTTTTACATTTACTATGGCTGACATCATGCATTCATATGATGCTTCTATTTAGGACATCATTTCTAGAGTTGGAGGGTCCCACAAACTAGTCTGGAGCTAGAGTTGTATTTTTTAGACAATATTTGAGTGCTAGAATTGCACCGGACGGGTAGTATAATGTCAGACAAATGTTGGATTCAAATATAATTCATAATGTATCAAATGAATATTGTTTCACTTTGTATCTGTTTATGCATTTTTTAATAGAGTTGCTCAGAGTTACGAAAAGTTTGACTTAATGTCAGAGTTATCTTAATTTAGTCTTAACACCTTCTTTCTAAATTGTACAGAGCAGGCCGATCTAACACCTTAATTTTTGGTACCGAGCTGTTGTGGTTATATATCGTCAAATCATGCCTGATCGGTGCATGCATTGTTTAGTTAGCTACATACTCATCATCCTCGTGGAAGAACCTGGTGTGTGCATGGTTCGGGCTATCGTCTTCCTTGGGCCGGCACACGGAGACGCGTGCCTCGCGCGACGACCTCTGCAACTCCGACACCCGCTCTTGCATGGCTTTTAGTTGCTCGTCTGCCGGAGCTTCCTCTCCTTCCGCCGTGACCAGCACCAGCTGGTCCAGGCTAGGGGCCCTCTTCAGGAAGAAGGTGAGCAGCCGCAGCTCTCGCCTTGTCCCCCTAAAATTCACAACCTTGATGAAGGTCAGCTGGTCAAGGACGACCTCGTGCTCGAGTGTCATGTCTGCGCCGTCGGTCTCCTCAGGCCGCGCTGCTGCCGAGCTGCTCCATCCGTACCCAGGATCGCTGGGGAGCTGCGGATAGATTCGGCATGCATTCGGTTCCAAATTGGAACACGTTTTTCTCAGATCAGAGGTGCAAACTCAAAGTTCAGTTTGGACGAAGAGAGAGAGCGCTTTACATACGTGGAGAAAGAGACGTTGGAGGACTGGGAGCGGGGTGAGCATGAAGAAAGTGGACACATGCTCCTGGTCTTCATTGTCCCAGTAGAAACATGGCTCTGGGGAGGCCAGCAGCAGCTGCAGCTCTTCTAGCTTCGGCATCTCCCTGAATGCGCTCTCATCCCAGCCGTGTTGGTAAAGAAGCTGACCGACAAGAGTAGAGTATCTAATTGTTAGAGCCTGCTCTGTTATCTTCTTGTTCTTCCGTGTCTACTGAAGTGCGTAGTATTTGTGAGGGAGATTTTATTGCAATCAATTAGACATATCGGTACCTGCAAGCCGATGGAGCAAAGCGTCAAGACCCGGGCATGCGCGACGACGTAGTAGAGGCAGGGGTAGGCCATGTCGTGGACAATGTTGTAGTCACCACAGCCGAGGTGCGACAGGTACGCGTCCCGCAGCGCCAGCATGTCGCCGAAGTCGAAGTAAACAGGGTTGCCCTCCTGCCAGCTCTGCTCTGGTTCGCTCCAGCAGACGTGGCCGTACAGGGTGAGCGACTCCAGCGCGGGCGCGGCGACCCGGAGCTCCTGCACGGCCCGGCAGCCCAGGAGCTGCAGCTCCCGCAGCCGCTCGCTGGCGACACTCACAGAGGTGAGCAGGGAGCAGCTCCTGAGGCTCAGGGACTCGAGCGCCCGGCAGCTGGAGAGAATGGCCCGGACCGCCTCGTCGGTGACGTCGGCGTGGCTGAGAGAAAGCGAGCGGAGGCCAGCGAGGCCTGCCGCGGGGAGCCGGACGGCGCGGAGGCTGAGCCCGCCGAGCGCGACCCGCTCCAGCGAGTTCCTGGCCTGGAACAGGTCACCGGGGAGCTCCAGCTCCAGGAACGCCGCGTCGTCGTCGTCGTCGTCCTGCGACGGCGTCAGGTGCAGGACGTCCACCTCCACCTCCCTGGCGCCCCTCCTCACGGCGGCCGCGACCCACCCGATGACGTCCCGCCCGAACGACGCGCCGTCGCTCGGCCCTGGCCCTGACCCTGACGGCGGGGACGCCAGCAGCGCCACGCGGAGCACGTCGAGCGGGGCGCCGTGCTCGGCGTGGAGCCTGAGGCAGCGACTCACCGTGGCCGCGGCCCGCGCCGGCGGCTGGCCGCGGGCGAAGTCTCGGTCCGTAAGGTCGAGCACCCGGGAGGCGGCCAGCGCGCGGAGCCACTGGTGCGCCCACCGCCGGGAGAGCGAGCTGGTGCGGACGGCCTGCTTCAGCGGGAGGCCGCGGAGGATGGCGTGGAGGAGGTCGTCGGGGAGGCTGCTCAGCCGGTCCACCTCCTCCATGGCTCCACGGTTGCTGCCGCTCTTGCTCGACTGGTGCAGGTGCGATCCCATGTCACGCTGGGCGCAGGCTCGCTTTCGCTTTGGTTGAAATGTCAAATGCTTCCGCAGCTTCGCAACAACTTTTATGACGGCGGAGGGATGTCGTGGCGGCTTCCGTTGCAACATCGGACAGATCACAGATGCATGTGTCATGTGTGCGAGTGTGAACTGGAAAAGGCCTCACGAGCCACACACTGTGGGCAGCGGCTCGCCTGGTTGCGAGACAGGGGAGGCTTTTCAAAACAAGCACACATATTTTTTTCCTTTTTAAAAAAAAAAAACAAGCACACACATACTGTATGCCTGTGAAATGAATTTTTTCAGAAGTTGAATAAAATAAAAGTATTTAACCATTGTATAGCAATCCAACATTTTGGACCAATCGTACTTGTTTGCAACATTTATCAAACAAATCAAATATTTTTTTTGGAAGAAACGCAAATCGGTTTAGTGTTACTGCGATCAGGTAAAAGTCTCCTAGACCAAAATTTGTCATGCTTCACTAATCACCATGATGCAGCAAGTCTATCAACCGGTAACTTTCACAAGTATATTTAAAAATCTATCTGTAATACAGAATTTTCTTTTTTTTCTTGAATATGTAATACATGATTTTCAAGGTGCAACACGGAAAACACAGGATTGAACTGCCTAAATACCTCAAATCCTAGGGAGTAGGGAATACTAACCAAAAAAATAAGAAAATATCCGGAGCAAAATTAGCCAATAAAAAAGCACATAAAAACTGCAAGAATGATTGCTTAGATGTAAAATGAAAAGAACACAAGAATCTGAAGAGTAAGACAAGTACCCTTTTTTCTCAAAATACTGTACCTCGTGCTAGAAATTCTCCAAAAATTCTATGAACATGCAATTTCATAAGAATTCTATAGGTCCCCCCTATGAATCTTCTATATTTTTCATTCGCTTCAAATTATGGAGATTAGGCCCTATTTGCTTTATTGCAATTTTGTGGATTGCTACTTGCAGGCTGTAACAATCTATGAGATCAGCTGAAACAATCAAGGGTCCAGATTGTAACAAGCCACACAGTAAATTACCACGATCTAACTATATGCTTCCCCTGCAAGCTAAAACAAACACTCAAACAGGGCACCAACGCTCAACAACCTACCAAAATTCATCTTTCAGCACGCCCATTGGGTAAGGGCAATACGGTGTTGAAATGGCAGAGGAGGAAGGAAATGCTTGTTCATTGCATTGGCTACTCAATTATGTGCTCTACGCCTCTACAGCCAGCTAATGAGTCATTGAGTGGTAACTACTCAATACTCAAACACATGTGAATGACCACTAAACATACAAAGACGTGTCTACTTGTGAAAAAAGAACACTAAATCAAATTTGATCTTTTGAGTTCTGACACGACACCACCATCTTCCTGGATTTTCTCGTTGTATATCACCTGTAGAACATGCAGTTGTTGTCAGATCAGATTGAGTAGTTTCTTCTGGTCTGCTATGGTGATTGTTTACCTTGTCAATGATGCCGTAATCCACAGCTTCACTGGGGCTAAAGTATTTAGGACGTCTGATGTCCCCAGCAATCTCTTCAATCGGTTTACCAATGTGTCTTGACAGCAGCTTAACCTAAGCGCAAATTAAGACAGTAAATTGTATACTGGAAGAAACTTCTCACCCCGATGGGAATTGCAGCAAGAAAGAATAACTAAGTTTCATGCAAGGAAATATATAGGCTACAGTTTTGAGATACATTTTTCCAATGCAAAGTGACTGAGATCTGTATATTCAAACTAGATGCGATGTGTTTCAGCCAACAACCCAACATTAGGCCAAGAAAAGATTCAGGTTTCCCTAACATTAGGCCAAAGTACTGTTCTCAACATCCATGGTCACTACACACTACAATGTTTTGGTGTAAGCTTCAGATAACTTCCATGTAAGCAAACTTCATAAATTGAGTTGTGATCAATTACTACAGATGAAAATAGCTTATATACATCAAGTGGAATACAGTGAAAAAATAACCATGAAGTACATAATTCCACATTCATGTATCTCACTTATTTTGAGGACATAAGATCATAGCAAATTAGATAATACCTAAAAAAAACAACTCCCTATCCATAGAATGGAAGCCCTTCTTTTTCCCGTGCAAAGCTTGGTCAAAAGTTTTAACACCTGTGCTGGGCCTTAAAACAATCGTACTCTATAATCTAGTCATAAAACATAAAGCTAGTGAGACAGTGTAGGGAACCAACCCCCCCCCCCCCTTTCTTTCCTTCCGGTTTGTCTCTTTCCTTCCGGTTTGTTTTACTTACTTTATTTTTTAGAAAAGAAATGGGGCGGAGTGGGGGTATTACTTCTTCCTGCATTGTGATTCTGTACAGACAGGAACATGACCAAGGCAGCACGGGGACCATAGTTCCCCTGCAGAACCAGGTTTCCCAGGGCACATGACTACCACTATGAGCCAGAAACCATAAAGATGGCTTCCCAATGTACAAACTTTCTTAACACAAACTCATTTTAAACCAGTAACCATGAATAACAATTAGTGATCTTTTTGTGGCCTGCCTGTATTTGGAAACTGAAAAGAGTTACTTCGAGACTAGGAAAAAGTTGGATGAATGGATGGTCGTATTAACGATAGTAGGATGGTCATTTTTTTTTTTTTTCCTCAATGGTTCTTCCAATCACCAAGTGAATGAACTGAAGAAATATAAGTTCGACGCTGCACAAGCACAACTTTCTATGTTTGTACATTGATAATGTGGAGCAATAATATCAACTGCCCAAAACAAGGTAGCATTAGCTATGGTAGATTAGTTTAAATCCAAGATAATTTTATTAATTCTTTATTCATACATGCCCTCAAAAAATCTTTATTTATACAAGACATGGAAAAATACCATTTCTATCTTGACATTTCGAATCTCTTTTCTTGCAATGTCAACATCTGTCGCCTGACCTTGAAAACGACCAATTGGCTGCACATTGCATGTCACAATGGTAAGACATTCTAGCTTCACATTATTAGCAAACAAATACCAATGACACTGCACATATTTTGTGTGTCCATAAACAAAGTATGTGCAAGTGCAGCACAGTATTGGAGCAAGGGTGTAAGATCATAGTACATTCTGCAGTATAATGTTACACTTATTTGTGTGCCATGAGCATTAACCTCAAATAACAAAGAAATTAGAATGTGTATATATCAACAGAAGAAAAAGAAATAACCTGTTTTATCATTATTGTCGATGATGGAAGTGCAGCACGGTTACCTTTAGCACCAGCAGCTAAGAGCAAAGCAGCTTCTCCCCATGCATTACCAACACACAGAGTGAAAATAGGAACTTTAACATACCTGCAATGGGGGTAGAGATATTAAGCTAGTACTCCATAGTTCTTTTTTAAAGAAAAAAGAAGAAGGAATAAGAGCTGGCATGGTAATGCCAATTGGAACAAGGGGAAGTTAACAGGCTACTACAAGTAAAGTAATGCATGTTATGAATCACTGAAGAAGGCACACCTAATGGACTATTCTATTTTGTACAAGGGGACAAAATATAAGAAGCTGAATCAACATTGTACCTTAATTTTTATTTATTAACTATATGGGCAGTGTTTAATGTGCTAGACTTCAAAGTCATTCTGTGTGACTCGCAAAATTTTGGGGAACTTCAAACCTCAGCAAAGTCCGATAGGCTACTGTGTTGAGCTCTTATCTTGAAGTTTAACGGTTACTAGACCAAAGGCACCTGGCCCTGCTTTTTGTAGAAAGCTTATCAGTTTAGCAGTTATAGAAGGGGAAAACCTAAGAAATCCAATAAGTGTAGTTATATATAACACCAGTCACCAAGCATGCGGCTTCACACTTTATTCCACTATATATGTTACTTTAGAAATATGAGTATGATTGAAATCTAATAGCTTTAACTAACAACATATTAAAGTAATAAAAAAGTACTGGCAGATTCATTACTAAAAAGAACTTCCAAAATGCTATATTACTAATGTATTGCGATAAAAATTAATGGACAAAATAGCATCTTGACATGGAGTGCAATAAACATGGAATTGGCCTGAAGGGAACTTGGACAAGTGTTATAGTTATAAGTATTTGGTCACGGACAAAATTCCTAGTTTCTAGTGGGACTAGTTGGTAAGCAGGCGTGGGTGGGATGTGAAAATGGGGTAGTGGCATGGACTCAGTAGCTTGTTTTCCATTCTAAAGAGCTCTGATCTACATAGGAGATAAAATATTTGAGTTCAATCTTGAGTTTTTCAAGCCACATGCTTGCCAGCCACAAAAATAGACATGTTCCTTATAAGTGGCATGGACTCAATAGCTATTGTTTTCCATACAGAAGAGCTCCGATCTACATAGAAGATAAAATATTTCAGTTCAGTCTGAGTTTTTCAGGCCATATGCTTGCCAGGCAGCCACAAAAATAGGCATGTTTCTTATAATGAGCTAACTAATACAAGTTCACATCGAGAACATGTGGAAAGCATCAGCCAAGTGAAGTCATTAAGAGGGGGATTAGGAACAGCAATAGATTTGCAAGGAACAAGAAAGCAGTAAAAATACATAGTATGTCAAACAGTCAAAGATGACCTCATAGCATCATATACTGCAAGAGCTTCTGTCTCATAACCTAACTTCTCGCCATTCTGAATAAGGAGGGAGAAAGCATATCAGATGATATGAAGATTGAATTAGGACAAGAATTAATCTGTGATTGTTAGAGATAAGTTGCTAAAACAAAAAAATAGAAAACTTGGTGCTCGGGTGAGAAAACAAATACACTTACATATATTCTAGGTGAACAAAGCTAAGGATTAAAGAACCAAAAAACCACAGGCTAAACTAAATTGATGCCCAATTCAAGCCTACAAAAGGTTTTTGGAGCCCAAATAATAGCATACTTCAAGCTCCTAGCCTTATCATATTTATTGTTTTCCTAGGTTGGTGTGTTTCCATTTTGGTTGTGAGCTCCGATCTACGTCGGCACTCATTTGATA